ATTGAAGCCGATTATCAACAAAAGATGGCTGACCTTCAGGAACAGCTGCGGAAGACAGAGGAGCAAAACGACGAATACAATAATCAAATGACCCGATCATTGGCCACAAGAAGTCAGGAAATGGATTCCCTGCGCAAAGACAAGGACTCGTTGGAGGAGAAGTTGAAACAGTGTCTCAAAGAGTTGGACGACACGAAGACGCGGTCGCAGACTTTGTATGTGATTTAATATTAATGAAAATTATCGTTGAATTATAGTTTTATTAATTTGTATTTGCAGTGAAAATGAAAATAAACTGATTGTACAAAGACTGGAGTCGCTCGAAGAGATTGGTTCCAGTCATCAGGAGTTGCGCGAGAATCTACAGCGACAGGTATTCTAGCCATTNTGAATTAGTTTTATTAATTTGTATTTGCAGTGAAAATGAAAATAAACTGATTGTACAAAGACTGGAGTCGCTCGAAGAGATTGGTTCCAGTCATCAGGAGTTGCGCGAGAATCTACAGCGACAGGTATTCTAGCCATTGATCGCTAAATAGTTAACAAATTGTTGGCAACTCTTTGATTACAAATTTACTGTTAAAAAACAGCTATCGATTTGCGAATCCAAACTGTCGGCATCGGAACAGTCGGTCGAGCACTGGATGCTTGAGTCACAGCTATTGCAACTCAAACTGGACAGAGAGCTCAAGAATAGGGGTCAGACGGCGGCGGCCGCCGCGACGGCCACACAAGACGTGGATACAGTTCAAGTGCCGTCCGTCAGTACCAGTGATAGTAACGCTCAGTTAACTCAAACGACAGGCACTGCGGCCGCGACTATACAGACGGCGAAGACTAGCAGTTCCACGCCGTCTACGGGCAGTCAACGGAGTATCGAAATGTCGTGCAACGACTTCGCCGGTTCGTCGCTACAGTCGCCCACCGTTTCGGAGGACAAACTCAGTCTCAATAGTAACGCGACGGCCGACGAAGACGTGCCACAAGTGACCGCTTATTTACGGAACCGTATATCACAGCTGATCGACGGCTTGCACGCGGCCGACAGCAAAGCCGTCGCCTATCATACGGAATGTCAATCATTGCAGCAAAAGCTGTCCGCATGTAATCGGCAGCGACTGCTCACCGCTCAGGATATGGACACCAAAGCCGATGAGATGACGCATTTGCGCGAAGAGTTGGCCACCAATGTGTCCAATTATGAGCAACAGTTGTCGCTAATGTCCGAGCATTTGGCGAATATGAACGACAAACTCAGCGCACAGACCGACGAAATCGCATCACTTAAACAGTTCCACTCAAACAATACTAACAACTCTTCAGTCAAAGTATGTCTGAAGTGAATGTTTTTATTTGTATTTCAAGTATTAATTTGTGTTTTAAAAACCCTTTTTTTAGGGCAAAAAACCCGTTAAAAACAAATGAAACCCAAAATCAAATCCATTCACACATTCCTCTCCACACATCGCGAGTGAAATGTTTTTATTATTATTTGTTTTGATTTTTATAGAAATTTATTTACACAACAAAATGAAACGAAAAATTGATCGCAAAGTTAAGAGTAATTTATTAATAAACAAATTAATTCACATTTAAATATTTAATTTCACGAATTGAATCACTCGGTGGTCACTGGGGTTCTGTCGGCCGAGTCTAGCCGTCAGTGGCCTCAACGGCGGCTGAATTGTCTTCATCGGCGGTGTTGTCGAGAAAGTGAAGCAAATTGTCGTTTTCATAGGTCGGGAAGTAATTGTCGGGCGAATCGTAATCGCATTCGTCGGGCAATAGTTTCGAGTGTCCGGAAAACTCTAAATGCACTAAAAGACTGTCCCGAGTGGTGGCCCGTTGTCCGCAGTAATGGCACCGACACTCATGAATCGTACGGCGCATGTAATTAATCACTTTAATCCGGTTATAAAAGTCCTCCAATCGGTCGATGAGAACGGTGTCGATGTCGTAGTCGTGGACAGTCTTCATGTGTGCCTTCAGTGGCTCGATATCGGCGGCGAACTCACAGAACAGACAAATACAGTGATGATCCTTGGGATCAGACTCTGACCAGTCGTTCCACTCGTTCTGTTCCGACTCCTCGTCGGCGTCGCAGCCGTCGTCCGCGCCGTCGGGCTTCACATCGACGTCCACTTCGCGCTTGACGTCACGCCAGTCCCTCTCCGGCGACAAGTAGTTAATCAAATAAAACTTGTCGTAATCCCTGTTATCGGGGTTCAGCTGCCGGTGACCCTTCTTCCTCATGTGCTCTTTCATCGTCGCCCACGACTTGAACGTACGCTCGCAGTACAGGCACTGCAGTGCAGTCACCCGCCTGTCGATCACGTCCAACAGCTCCCGGCAGTGGACAATGTTGTCCGGATTGCCGACATTGAGGCCGTGATCTGCGGCCAAATGGGCGAACAGATTGGCCCGGTTTTCGGTGAACACTTTGCGGCAGAAAATGCACTGTCGACTGAACTCAGTGTCGTTGCGCTCCGACTGTGACTGCAGTAGTATTAAGTCAAGCATCGACTGTCGCAGGCCTTCGCGTACGCGCGTGTCTTCGGGGAACTCCTGAGCGCTGCCACCGATCATGTAATAGGTCTCGCGTTCGGCCACGTCTTTGGGACCACTGTTTCCAACGGTTATATAGACATTGATTTAGTAAAAGAGTTGACCGATTGGTTAACATTAGCCGATTGTTTCCATACCTATTGGTGTTAATGGCGACACAGAATCGGGTCCAGTCGTGGCCATCGACAGTGGGGGCGAACTTCGGCCGCCAGTGATCGCAATATTTGGCCAAATCGGCGATTGTGTCGATGTCTGCGATCATAAACTTGTGATCCGTTAAGAGATGTGTTTGCAGTGAATAACTCAACGACTCATCCGTCGGTCCGATGGCAACCAATTTGGGACAAATGAGACATTCAATGGTCTTCCTCTGGTCGGCGCCGTCGATGGCGACCGTCGGACGAGCGGTCGGATCGGTCTTCAGGTACAGACTCTCGACGTGTCGGTGAGTATCGGAGTTGTTGTCCATCGCTGTGGCCATTGTCTGCCCAACCGGTGTCTCACGTGTGATACCAAACCGTGTCTTATATTTAACGCGAGTTTTAATTACAAATTAATTATAAATAAGTTTTAATTATTAATTACAAAACTATTATAAATAGAAAAATAAAATCTTTTAATTCAAAAACTCCTTCAATGAAAACAAATGTGTGTTTTGTTTACAAAATGTGTTCAAAGTTTGGCGTAATTTATGTGTCAAACATATGGTCTGAATTGCCGTTGGGTTTGAAGTTTAAAAAACTGAGTCAACGATTGCGTCAAAGTTTAAACTTTTTGACTCATTTGTAGCCAAAACACGTGCTTTCGGTGACCACTCGATGGCCAACCGGTTGTCCGCCGACGGGAAGCGTTGCGCCAGATATTCAATACAATACTATCGACAAGTGTTGAGTGCGTGGAAGACATGCGATCATCAGAAGGACAGAGTAACTCATGAGGTAGTGGTCGACAGACAACCGGCTGTTGATTGTCGTCAGCCCGTCGTCGCTGTCGAAGACCACACCATCGATGACACCATCGATGACACCGTCGCTGATAATGTCAATGATATTACGGTAATTGATGTACAAAACACTAGTCACGAGTCCGTCGAATCGGTTCCCGAATCACCCGTTATTGTGGCCAAGAAGAGGGTGTCG